CGCGAGCTGACCGGGCAGCTCGATCCCCGTCATAATCAGCGAAGTGGCAATCTTGAAAGCATTAGCATCACAAACTTCTCTGAAAGACACAATTCGGGTTGGATTCGCATCTAAACACTCATGGCCTCACTAAAATAATAGTGCGAAAATAAATACAACTGAAAGGAGTTTTGTCAAACGGGATTACCAAGAATAAAAACCTAACAGCATACATCAAAGTAAAATGAAAACTACACATTCTTCACATAATATCAATGAACTCCCCTCCACATAACCACGTAAAATGCATATAATTGAAAAAACAGAGCATCCAATCCATATCAATCCAAAAACAGAGCATCTGATCCATTATACGAATGAAACCATAAACTGAACATGTATTCATAACCAAATGGATACTAACTTTAATCATGCAATCCTACAATCGTCCACAAAGTCGAAAAAACTGATTTGAACTAGTTATAGTCCAGAAAATGTGACAACTGAACACCTTCCTCTTCGTCGTCTTCACTCGCAAACCACAGAACCAGACTACAACAGCAAGGATGAAACCCTAGCACAACCAATCCTTGCAACGAGCATGCAAAACATAAACGTATCTCTCGGAATTGGATTGATGATGAAAAGCGTAAAATAGAAACTGCCAAACTGCATGAACGAAGAAACAGGCACCTATTACGTATTAACACTGTACACGTATATATACAGGGGCAAAATAGTCCAAAAAATTATATTAAATTAGAAAAATGGACTTTATGGAATATCCAGAAAATTTTATGGGACTAATTAGGTTATAATATACTTTAGTGGACCTAATGGGTTATAACAACTCTAGAATGGATTTATCAATAAAAATCTCTTTTTAAAGGAAATGTCACTCAAGACTAAAGAATTCGAAAAAAATATGTGACTTTCTTTGCTGTTCCCAAACTCCCACAGCGCAGGGCAAGTTTGATTGGGAATATTGGAGTATAGGATTGAAATTCTCAATTCACGAGACTCATGGTTGTTTTGGAAATTAATTATTTTAGTTAATTTTTTAACTTTTTATGATAAGACGTGCAAAAAAATAGAGACAAGAGTTAACTTTTTCGAAGTGATTTTTTGGCTATTTTAGCTGGTTTCCAAACTTGCCCCTATATTCCATTAATTGGTTGTAATTTTTGTTATCCTGATTAGATTTTAATGCACATTTTATCTAACAAAATTTATAGATTTTTTAAAATTTTGATTGGGCGTATTGTAGTATAGGATTGAATATTTTGGAAAATTTGATCAAAATCCCCTCATAATAAAATTATAATGCATTAAGAACAAGTACAAAAAGTTTTCCTTGAAAAATCTAGCACATACCACTATTTTTAAAATATCCTTAGTGAGTAATTTAATATTTTAAACTTTAAAATTATATAACTTTTGATCTAAATGTTGGTTCTTAATAAAATTAGTATTTTTAGAATTCTCTCATTAAGATCTATCAAACAAGATTTAGGTTGACTATGAAATTCTTTAAATAAATTAAAAAAATAACGTCAAGTAAACAGTAACATTACTCTGTTTAATAGTAACATTTTACTTTGATTAATAATAACATTTTACTTTAATTCATAGTAACATGTTATTGACTACTAGAGTAAAACTTTACTATCTTCGTAAACAGGGTATCAGTAATAAGAAAAACAGAATATGAACTGAAAGAGGTTCTACAAGTTCCTTCACTACAAGTTCACAAATAAATCAACAACAATTCAATAATAAATTAACAACAATTCAATATACCTGAAGGACGCTCTATAATCTACAATCAACAAACTCAACAAATTCTGTCTAATCCCACAAAATTTTCAATCAATAGGCCTAATCATTCAACCAAACTTTCCTTAATCACACTGGTTTCTACACCCAACACTAATTTCATCAAAACCCAAAAAGACCCAAATCCAAGTCCACTTTCACTGCAACGATTGGCATGAAAGCTTCTTCATCTCAGAACCCGTCTTCTTCTTCGTTTTAGTTAATAAATTTTTGGAATTGAATTCTGATTTCTTAGGGTCTTCATTTCAGTGAGACGAATAATGTTGGGGATTGACTTGTTTCTACTCTCTCACTAATTAGCTTTTAGAAAAATTGAGTTCTTCAACACATTTAATTTGTATTTTACATTACCACCTTGTTTACTTCTTCAGTGTGTTGTAAATGTTACGACCCAACCCCAGTACCCAGGGTTTGGATGTCGCAACTAGTTGATTTCTAAAGTTACCAAGGATTAATTCTGAATTAAAATGAATTAATAACGCAGCGGAGTAAAATAAAAGATGTACATATAAATATTTATTGTACTTATGTACATTGGAGCTTTTATTTAATTAAAAAGAGTCAGACAATAATTACAAATAAATAAAAACGAAACAAAACACTGTGTTTATTCCAAGCTCTAGTTCTGCTTTATGAGGTAAAAAAAAATCCTCCCTAAGTTTCATTACCTGAATGGGTTTAACAGCTATAAGTACATGGTAGAGTGAAAAATATTATACTGAGAACATAAGTTATAAAAGTCACCATGGATAATTATTTAGGCTAAACAGTAAATAGTTTGGTTCGAATAAATAAATCATTTTAAATAGCAAAAATATCATGCAGAAATCATATAAGTAAAATAATCATAACCATGGTACAAAACATAACAGAGGGTCAATGGATTCATGACAAACAGAGGATTACTAAACTGACTAATCAGATGACCAATGTTATTTAAGTTCCCAAAGGCATGTGACCTCCATGATGGTACTTATAAAACACATCAGTAAATATCAAATCTCCAAATTATAAACATTTTATATCCATGGATTTCCCTTGTAAACCAATAGAGTTCATAAAATAAATAACATAATTGAAATGTTAATATAATTTATAAAGCATGATTTACAAAAAACAATTTTACATAAAATAATTCATTGTTATTCAAGGTATAATACAACTCACCTAAATAACGACTCTTATTTTATTTTTATTTTTTTTGTTACAGGAAAGTCTTCCTCATCTCCCGCAGGTCCAAGGTAGCGCCCCTTACAGAGGTCACTAAGGTGTCCTGTTTTCCGTTCTGAGTCAGAGACTATAACCTAAAAGCTTGTCCTGACCTCTGAAGACAAGTTTTGCTTAAGTTAGAACTCGCGCAACGAGAGAACTTTGAATCCACACCAAGTACTGTAATAACAACAATTTAAAACTAACCTCCTAACCAACGGAGCACTTTCACTATGCTGATTCCTTTCTCCCTTGGTCACTTCAACCTCCAGGAATTCACCTATTTATATAGGTGATTCACTTAACAAGACTTGGGTCAAGTCTGTGAGCACCACTTATTTGCCACCCCTTATTGTTTTCGTCCTTACCACAATACAAAGTTTATCCAAACAAATAGCTAATTATCCTATAATCCAAATATTAAACTAATTGTATTACCATCCTCCTCTCTCTTTTTCTTTCTTTTTTTTTTTTTAAATCATAATGACCCCTAACTTAAATTAAATTATATTTTAAGTATATCCAATATATATATTTTCTCTAATCATAATTAATTGATATTAATGCAGAGTTAAAATGAATTAAATATTTGGGGTGTCACAGTATATATTGTTGCGTACTCTCACACTCTGTGAGATATATACATAGGTGCAAGGTTGTTTAGAAGATAGAGAAAAAATAGTAGTTTATCCTTCATGGAGGAAACGCTTGTTGCTCAAGGGGTTTAGGAAGTAAAATTTTTGGATTATCCTTTACTCATTAACATGTTGGGCCTAGGGGGTTTTGGCTAAATTTCCCAATTATTAATTCACAAGACTCATATTCTATTATTTGGTTGTAATTTTTGTTATTTTGATTAGATTTCAATTGATATTCTATTCAACAAAATTTACAAATTTTTTAATCCGACAACTAAATATTAAAAAAAAAAAGGCTCAATTAGTATATATTAATGTGTGTTTGAGAGAGAAAATATTAGGTACACATCTAATCTTTGGCATAGTGCACAAAGCAGTTGCCCTATGAGTTAAACTCATAATCTCAAGGTTATTAGATTAAAATTTTACCATTAAACCAATGGTTACCCATTACCCTACAACTAATATACAAAACAATTATATAATTGCAATTATATATTTTCATATATACTGCAAAATATAATAGACAAAAGATAATTATTTATCGCACTAATCTAACGGAATAACTAATGTTACACGAATCACATGAATGATTAATCTCTTCACTATTAATTATGCTAATCAAATAGGACCTTATTGAATTGCCACAACCAATTTCCACCACCTCAACCAAGTTATTGATTCTTGGAATTTTCTGGATTTTTTTTATTTGTTTTTTCCACTTTGATCTCTGGTGACGTTAACGAGAGGAGCACCAGTGGAAGAGAGATGAGATGAGCTAAAGAGTAGTGGTAGTTGGGAAAGTGGTGGTGCATAAACATAGGGAAATGAAGTGTGGAAGCGTGATGGGAGTAAAAGTAATTTTGTTATCAACAATGATTCATCCCACTAAAAACATCACCATTAATAGCACTAATGCATTAAAAAAGTAAAAAAAAAAAAAAAACACAACTTCAAGATCAAAACCTCACATCATTAATGGTGAGACCCACTGGCACCTAATTAGTGGGAGCACTAATTAGCGCTCCCAAGCATTTTTCTTTTGTTATTTCATGACTCTCGTTAACGGAGTTGACTTTTGAGGACATCGGTGGAAGCCGGTGTTATATTTTGTCAAACTAATAGGCCAGCTACAATTTAAGCAAATTGTTAGAGGGGGCAAATGTAATTTGTTTAAATTTTAGCCAGAGTCAACATTTTGGATGCCACAAAGTTTTTTCTGATCGAACTCCATCTTCAGAACACAAACTTGAGAGAGATAGCACCGAAACGGGGCTATGGAAGCAGTAAACAATTGTGCCTTGGAGAAACTGATCAAAAAAATGGATGAGTATGCGAGAGAAGAAGCCAAAGAAAGAGAAAGACAAAGACAAAGAGAAAGAATGATAGAGAGATGGAAACAGAGAGAGGGATTCGGGAGGGAGATGGGTGACAATTATTGTGTCTTGGAGAAATTGAATCATCTAATGATCAGTAAGGCGTGCAGTTGGACCGCAGATCAGATTGATCACATCGACTTCTTTTACAATAGGCCAAGATTCCTAGCAATCATTCTCAAGGATATGGACGAGAAGCAGCAGCAGCAGCATGAGCGGAACCATGAAGCTAAAAACCTGCAGATGCAAATTTATTATGTGATCTGCAAGACAAGACAACTTATCCGTTTTTTTTATGCTCATTTTCCAGGGCAGAGGGACATCAGCAACAACGGTGACAGTTTTTTTGATATTTTATTTGGCATAAATATCATGGAAGAGATTAAGACGATCGAGGCAAAAGTGCTGCAGTTTTATGACCAGATAAATCAGATCCAACTCCTCCTACAAGATGATAAAGATTTCAATGATGGAGTCCATTTGTCAATGTCAATGTCGATAGAGAACATAACCATGGTAAATGAAGAAATTACAGTGGGCTTTGATGATGAGGCGTTGACTATAAAAGAGCTACTTGCTAGAGGGAAGAAGCAGCTACAAATGATATCAATTGTTGGGATGCCTGGACTCGGTAAGACAACTTTAGCCACAAAACTGTACAATGATCCTTACATCACACACTACTTTCATATTCGTGCATGGACCTATGCTTCTCAATTACCCAGAAAAAAAGATATGTTGTTGGACATTTTACGCTCTGTTAATGTCGTCTTTACCGATGAAATTGAAAACATGACCAATGAGAAGCTAGGCAAAAAGTTGTACAAGCAATTAAAAGGCAAGAGATATCTCATTGTCATTGATGATTTATGGGATATTGGTGTCTGGGTCGATCTTAAAATGTATTTCCCCAATGACAACAATGGAAGTAGAGTTATGTTCACTAGTCGCCTAAAAGAGTTGGCTATGCATGCCTCACCTGATTGCCATCCTCATTGTCTGCGTTTTCTCACAAAAGAAGAGAGTTGGGAGTTATTACAATGGAAGGTGTTTCAAAATGAAAGTGGCCCTCCAGTACTGATTGAAATTGGGAAGCAAATAATGAAAAAATGTGAAGGGCTTCCACTTGCAATTGTTGTAATGGCAGGACTTCTTGCAAAGGACAACAAGGCACAAGAGTCGTGGGAACAAGTTGCCCAAAGTGTAAGCTGATACATTGTTAGTGGTCCAAATCAGTACTTGGACACACTAGCACTGAGTTACAATCACTTGCCTCGTCACTTGAAACCTTGCTTTCTCTATTTAGGAGCATTTCAAGAAGACCAAGAAATCCCGGTGCAGGAGTTAATTTGGTTATGGATAGCTGAGGGGTTTATACAAAAAATTGGGCAGAAAAGCTTGGAGGAAGTAGCAGAGGATTACTTAATGGATCTAATTCAGAGAAGTCTGGTAATTGTTGCTCAAAAAAGGTTTGATGGTCGAATTAAAGCATGTCGTATGCATGATTTGTTGCGTGATTTATGCTTGAAGAAAGCCAGCGAAATCAATTTCCTGCGGTGGATTCACAATTATAAAGACGGTTCTCCTTCTTCTTCAAGTAATTACGAAACAAATAACCAGCGTCGCCTGTGCATCCATTCTTACTTCGCACCAAGATTTGGTGATTGGCTCTTAGAACCTTATTCCCCAACAGTTGTTCAATCATTATTGTGCTTCAGAAATGAGTTTCAAGAAAAAATTAGTGGCGGCGACAATCTGTTTGGTGATATGTGCTCGTTGATTTGTTGGACCTTCAAACTTCTTAGAGTGTTGGAAATATGCTATAACAATGCCTTCTTTCCAAGAGAATTAACACAACTTGTTAATTTGAGGTATTTGACAATTAATTTGAAATATTCCTGTGAATTACCGCCATCAATATCCAATCTCTCAAATCTAGAAACATTTACTATTATTTCTACACAATGGTGCAAGTTTATTTTGCCATGTAATGTTTGGAAGATTACAAAGTTGAGGCATCTTTATGCTTAGGGAAGAGCAAACTATCATGTGTCATTATGTTCTGAAGAAGCAGTAGTGGATCACAGCCAACCCTCTATATTAGAAAACCTACGAACCATTGCAAACTTCAACCCTTGTGGATCTATTCAGGATTTATTGGCAAGAACTCCGTATCTTACGAAGTTGGGAATTTGTGGACATCTGTTGTCATCAGATTCAGAGAATTTGATGTTTCCTAATCTAGAATTTTTAAGACACCTTGAGACTTTAAAGCTACACAACAATATTTTGCCCAGATACCCAAGTACTCTCGGAGAGGTCAAGTTTCCTGCAAATATTAAAAGGCTAACCTTGAAATCTACAAGGCTCAAGTGGGAGGAGATATCAGTCCTTGGGATGCTGTTACCCAGCCTAGAGCTTCTCAAATTAGAATGTAATGCTGCCTGGGGATCGCAATGGGCAACAACTGATGGTGGGTTTCCTCGACTCAAATTCTTGAGACTGAGGAGCCTCAATGTCAAGCAATGGATCACCTGCTCTAGTCACTTTCCAAGCCTTCAATACTTGTCGTTGGAAGATTGTCAAAATCTCGAGGAAATACCATCTAGTTTGGGGGATATACTCATCTGCAGCTAATTGAGGTAACCTTTTGTCATTTCTCTGTTAGGGAATCTGTCAGGAAAATTAAGGAAGAGCAAGAGAGCATTGGAAATAATTGGTTGAAAGTGCTGATTAGGAAACAACCATGGGGCCTTTGAGTCAAAGTGTAATGATACAACTTCTAAAGGTATGTTTTTATTTATTTATTTATTTTTTAATTATATATTTATGTTTAATATTTTCTTTTTTCATTTTGGATTCGACCCTACATAAAATAAAAGTAATCTACCTTGTGTATATATAAACTAACCTAAAACTCACACTATGCACGGTCTTAAACAAGTAATTAAAATTTTATCTTAAAAATTAAAGTAATAATTTTAAAATTTAAAAGGAAAAAATAATCAAAATTATGTGAATGAGTTGTCTTCATTTAAATTGCACTAAAGTCTTGTTATTGTGTTGTTATTAATGTTTTATTTTACGTATTAAAATATATATATATATATATATGTATGTATGTCATTACGTGGATTAGTAATATTTTAGAGCAAGAACATTGAATGAATTATAAAAATTACATTTAGCATATAAGATAACTAGCGTATGCCCGTGCCTGAAGGCACAGTATAAATAATATTGGCACACATATTTTAAAAAAATCAATTAACATAAATTATTAATATTGGTATTACATCTTTTACAAAAAAATCAATTCAAAATGATAATAATTTCACTATTATAGAAATCAATTATATATCAGTTTAATATATCATACAATGGCGGTTTGTTTAAGTTAAAATATAATTTATCAAATTCATTAGTAAAAGTTTAAATTAAAATATTAATTTGTATTTGAAATTTTTATTAAACTTTTTATAGAATTTCACCATCTAAAAAAGTATAGTATTTAAAATACTCTCTCTCTCTCTCTCTGTGTAACGTCTCCCTTTCTCATTTCCTCCTCTCATCTTCTCTCATCTCTTAACAAACACTACATCTCCTCTCAAAGCTCAAATAACAAACCCTTTATTTCCTTTGTTCGATCTTCCTCTCTCTATATTTTTTTTTTCACTCTATTTATCTTAAATTTGTGATTTGATTTTGTTAAATAAAAAAAATCAACATCCATTTCAAAAACTATGTTCAAAACCATAAAAAATCAACACTCATTTTCCATTAAGAAATTAAATTCATTTCATAAATCCAACTGAAAATAAAAATATATTTCTAAAATCAAAACCTATTTTATAAAGATCAACCATTATTTCAAACCTAAAACTTTTTAAAAAATTAAATCCAAATCCATAAGCTACATTAAAAATAAATAAAAAATAAAAAATTCTATATAAATAAAAAAACAAACAGAACACAGACATCAAAAAATAAATAAAAATAAATCAATTTAATGATTAGAAACATAGAACCCACACCTTGTCCATCAATTCCCCACTCATTCTCTCTCTTCCATCTTCCACCACTCATTCTCTTTATGCATTCTCTTCATATTGTTGTTTGTCATATTTCTCAATATTATATTTCATAGATCCTATTTTAGGTTTATAATTTGAACAGTTCATCACATAAATTTTGTAATAAAGATCAACTAGCGTATGCCCTTGCCTGAAGGCACGGTATAAATAATATTGGTACACATATTTTAAAAAAATCAATTAACATAAATTATTAATATTGGTATCACATCTTTTACAAAAAAATCAATTCAAAATGATAATAATTTCACTGTTATAGAAATCAATTATAATAAATCAGTTTAAGATATCATACAATGGCGGTTTGTTTAAGTTAAAATATAATTTATCAAATTCATTAGTAAAAGTTTAAATTAAAATATTAATTTGTATTTGAAATTTTTATTAAACTTTTTATAGAATTTCACCATCTAAAAAAGTATAGTATTTAAAATACTCTCTCTCTCTCTCTCTCTGTAACGTCTCCTTTTCTCATTTCCTCCTCTCATCTTCTCTCATCTCTTAACAAACACTACATCTCCTCTCAAAGCTCAAATAACAAACCCTTTATTTCCTTTGTTCGATCTTCCTCTCTTTATTTTTTTTTTCACTCTATTTTATCTTAAATTTGTGATTTGATTTTGTTAAATAAAAAAAAATCAGCATCCATTTCAAAAACTTTGTTCAAAACCATAAAAAATCAACACTCATTTTCCATTAAGAAATTAAATTCATTTCATAAATCCAACTGAAAATAAAAATATATTTCTAAAATCAAAACCTATTTTATAAAGATCAACCATTATTTCAAACCTAAAACTTTTTAAAAAATTAAATCCAAATCCATAAGCTACATTAAAAATAAAAATAAAAATCTATATAAATAAAAGAACAAACAGAACAGAGACATCAAAAAAAAAAAAATCAATTTAATGGTTAAAAACACAGAACCCACACCTTGTCCATTAATTCCCCACTCATTCTCTCTCGTCCATCTTCCACCACTCATTCTCTTTATGAGATACATCTTACCTACGAACGAACATTTTAACATTTCAACATTAGTAGATTTTCTTTCAATTTTTATAAACTCAAAGCTCTTCAAATTGAAAACCATTTATTTTTTTTCCTCTCCAATTTTCTGCTTTGTGTGCTCCAGATCTACTCTTTCATCAGATACGTTCAAGTTTCTTAGTATTTTTATATATGTGTATATCAGACTATTAAAATAAGGAGCCCATTAGAATTTAGTGAATCCTAAAAACAAATCATTTATAATATTTCAGTACACCAATCTATAAGAGAGGTCATAAAAAAATAATCCGAAATTGGATTCTTGTACATGTTCTTATGATATCAAATTTAGAAATGCAAGCGACAAACAATCTAGAACAACATGCATATGCTAGTATATACATATAATCGAAACAAAAGAACAGAGTAATAGAGGGGAGACCATGCCTCCGCATATCTTATGTGCAACCTATTGCTCAACAAACAAACACTTATCACGGAGGAACTACGGATATGGTCTATTAATATGTAAATTATGAGATACATTCCATTGTTCCTCAATCTTTTTCTCCATCCTAAAATGGGAATTTTGAATAAAAAGAAAGTGCATTCCTACATGATTTTTAAACAAAAATGTGACAAATACTATGCACCGGTAATAACCAAACATGGACAGTCCTTGAAGCTAATTTTATAGGAAGGTCACTGATTCACATCTTCATGCAAGCTATTGTTAAACTGTCAGCAACTCATGAAAGACAAACAATCCTAATCCATCTAACAATAAGCAAAAAACCAGGAAAACAATTCCCCAGTTTTGGAACACAAAAGATGCAAATTATAGGATCCCACATACAATTGATCATGTGTGTAGAATGTACTAAGTAAGATTCCTGGAGAAAAAAAAAATACATAAATAAATAAGAAGGAGGAAGATTCCCATATGAAATAGACTGGTTAAAGATTCTAATAAAAAACATGAAAAGTGCTCAAAACTGAAAATGAAGAATGAAAAATGAAAATCTAGAGAGCAGGTATGTCAGTGTGAATATATATATATATATATATGCATAGATAAACAGAGTACCCTATCTTCTCAAACAATTAATTTATGAAGATAAGTAGACTAAGATATCAAGACTTTCTTTAATTAAAATTAAATAAAAAGAAATAAAAACAAAATAAAATTGGTAATATAGGGCTTACAGAGGATGATAATTCTAGCAACCCATTTGCCAGTTCTTTCTCGGATTGTCGGTTGGCCTTGCAAATCAACACTTCCATCAAGAGTACACTCTTCTTCTTCTCCCTTGAACTTGCCCTAAAATCCCAACAACATTTTAAAAAAAAAAATAGAGGAAAAAAATTAAATCAGACAGTTTAATTTCAATTCTTCTTTCCTTTCCCTTACATCTCTTTTGCCTTTTTTTGCCCCACCATTTCCTCCGATTTCTTTTCTCTTTTTGGGGGTTTTGAGAAAGAAAACCTAGAAAAATTAAACTGAGAAACCACAATTATTCCCCAAAATCAACCAGGCAAAATAGAAAAGAAAAGAAAAAAAATGGTGTCAGTTTAAATTCATAATGATTATGCAAAGTAATCCCAACACTATTTAAATTTAATCCCAACACTATTTAAGTTTATTATAAATTTAATCCCAACACTATTTAAATTTAAATTTAATCCCAACACTATTTAACTTTAGATTTAATCCCAACACTATTTAAATTTAAATTTAATCCCAACACTATTTAAATTTAAATTTAATCCCAACACTGTTTGAATTTAAATTTAATCCCAACACTATTTAAATTTAAATTTAACCCCAACACTATTGTTGGGATTAAATTTAAATTTAATTCCAACACTATTTTAATATTTTTTAATCCCAACACTATTTAAATTTAATCCCGAGATGTAGATTCCTCTATAATATTGTTCATTTGGTAAAGAACAGTCAACTGATTGCCAACACAATACAATCATTATAGTCACAAACATATTTATAAATAAAAAAAATAAAAAAATAAAAAGCATAGATCAGCCGGGAAGAGTCAAACACAACTGTCACCCCAATCCATTTTGATAGCAGCAGCAGCAGGAAGCTCATGGAAAGGAAGACACTCTTTTTCACAACAACAGTTGGGATGTGATAACCACAACACCAAAACCATGTTCCCAAAATGTTTTCTGATAATAAAATCTGAAACTATCCGCATTTCCTTGTATCACATTGTTATCCCAAATTAACATTTGAAATTAACCACAACACCAAAACCAAGAATACTATACACAACTCAAAAGCCTAAGAAAATTAACTGAGAAAATTAACTCTTTTCATCATAACAAATAAATGTATAACAATGGTAATGATTTTGTGTTGTAAACAGCGCTCTAATTTACATTGCATCATTCTGTGAAAAATTACAATAGGAAGGATACAAACTCAAGTATTACAATTTCTATCCTTCGCATAGCAAACAATCGAAATGTGGCTAGAGTGAAAGGGAGATATATTATGATGCAGCACTATTTCATGAAGTATATTAT